ATCTGGCCTTTACAATGACTCCGGTGGCCTACCGGTGTATCGAGCCACTGCTGCTATCCTCGCGGACTATTCTGGTATCAATTTTCCGACTCTGGAGAGATGGAAGGCTTGGTGAGCCTGGCGCGCAAAGATCGATCCCATGTGTATTGCAGGACGTCTCCGACCACTGCGCCAGACGCGACTTTTTTCCATACAAATATACCTCCTTTTTTGGGTGGAAACTCCAAGAGACAAAATTCTGAGAAGAAGACGGGCTTGTAATTTTTAAAAAATGTTGCGCACGATAACTTCATGGTTCACATAAAACAAAACAAGAAACGTAGTTGCTCTCTAACATACCTAAAATTGTACACGGTTGCTCACTACGAAAACGATCATTAAAATATTTTAGAGCAAAATTTGCACTGCGAAAGAAGTAAACATTCCAAAAAGCCAAATTTAGTTTAGTAGTTTAATTCATAGGTTAATTAAGTGAGGTTAATAATCATCAAATATCTCCAATGAAAGACCCAGATTGCTCGTGAAGGACGTATGCGAGCAAAGCCAAACCAAGAAAGAGCTGAATTTTGCGGAAAAAAAATGAGAAAATAGACCGAGCCTCCGAGCCCCACTTTACTTCCTTAGGCGCTGAACTGATAGTTCCCAGGATCGACTTTCTATTAACCTCGGCATTGGAATATGAATGCGCCGTGACTCGTCAACCATATGCGACTATAATCAGCTGTTCTAAACCTCCTCATTGAAAGCCACGAAAAAGCGGCTCTGGAGAAGGCGATACTGCCGAAACGTCAGATAGTGTTGTATTGTATTGTGTTTTGCTATGGAAGTAAATGTATGCTGAACTGATAATTAGAAAGATCTCCAAAACACGAGATAAATAGTGGGTGAAAATGGATGGAATTAGCGAACGTTCGTCGAGGAAAGCTGAGCGGAAGCCGTGAAACCGTCCAAACAACAATAATAAATATTCGGATTGAACGGTCCGAATGTACTGATTGGATTAGGCTGAGTACAGGCTACTTCGCATTGAGATTATGTTTAAACGAAATGAGACCAATGAGATAGGATTCAAAGGGTGTGGATGGCTAGAAGATGTCAAATATCACAAAAGACTTTTTGGCAGGCCATTCAGAGAGTTAGCGCTGAGTAGCTCCAGTTTCAAACATGAAGAAAAAACAAAATTTTGAATATGCAAATGTAGAATGGCAACTACATACAGCTTCGCTATAACAGTGCCATTTTCATGCATTTCAAAGTTAGCAATTTCCACTAAAGAGTTGAGAGGCTTGGTGAGCCCGGAGCGGTATCGAACCAGCACAGTGTTTGTGATGATCACTACCACTGTGCTATCCGCTCCTTAGTAAAACCACAGTATTTTCAATCTACTGAATTCTTCTAGGCGTGCAAACAGAAAGTTGGACACCAACAAGCAAAATTAATAACGTTGCGAAATACAACCACAACGTTGCTGAGATATTTGCAAAACTCTGGACCGCAGGTGTCTATGGTGGGGAACGAACGCGCTATTATCCTTTCCGGGGAGTAACGCGTTCACCACCACACCATGCGGGTCCTTTGTTTCGCACGTCTCTCAGCTATTTCTATCGATCTTTTTGCCACAGCAATCACCCGTCAGCGGGGTTGATCTGGGGAGCGCAAATCGGCATAGAACCCAGTTAAGCTATGGCTGTAGTTGAAATCACAATGTTTAACGTTTTGTTTTCTGCCTTCTATAATTTTCATGGCAGGTTACTAAGCGAAATACAACCACAACGTTGCTGAGATATTTGCAAAACTCTGGACCGCAGGTGTCTATGGTGGGGAACGAACGCGCTATTATCCTTTCCGGGGAGTAACGCGTTCACCACCACACCATGCGGGTCCTTTGTTTCGCACGTCTCTCAGCTATTTCTATCGATCTTTTTGCCACAGCAATCACCCGTCAGCGGGGTTGATCTGGGGAGCGCAAATCGGCATAGAACCCAGTTAAGCTATGGCTGTAGTTGAAATCACAATGTTTAACGTTTTGTTTTCTGCCTTCTATAATTTTCATGGCAGGTTACTAAGCGAAATACAACCACAACGTTGCTGAGATATTTGCAAAACTCTGGACCGCAGGTGTCTATGGTGGGGAACGAACGCGCTATTATCCTTTCCGGGGAGTAACNCCGCTGACGGGTGATTGCTGTGGCAAAAAGATCGATAGAAATAGCTGAGAGACGTGCGAAACAAAGGACCCGCATGGTGTGGTGGTGAACGCGTTACTCCCCGGAAAGGATAATAGCGCGTTCGTTCCCCACCATAGACACCTGCGGTCCAGAGTTTTGCAAATATCTCAGCAACGTTGTGGTTGTATTTCGCTTAGTAACCTGCCATGAAAATTATAGAAGGCAGAAAACAAAACGTTAAACATTGTGATTTCAACTACAGCCATAGCTTAACTGGGTTCTATGCCGATTTGCGCTCCCCAGATCAACCCCGCTGACGGGTGATTGCTGTGGCAAAAAAATCGATAGAAATAGCTGAGAGACGTGCGAAACAAAGGACCCGCATGGTGTGGTGGTGAACGCGTTACTCCCCGGAAAGGATAATAGCGCGTTCGTTCCCCACCATAGACACCTGCGGTCCAGAGTTTTGCAAATATCTCAGCAACGTTGTGGTTGTATTTCGCTTAGTAACCTGCCATGAAAATTATAGAAGGCAGAAAACAAAACGTTAAACATTAATAACGTTGTTTGGAAATTCATGAAGACCACTGCTAATCCTTAGGTACAGTTTCACAAAAGAAGTCCATGTTCCTCGAATTCCATTAAATTTAAAGATGAGAGTCTTTTTGAAAAGTTTTACCAGGTTTCTACTATGAATTACTTTCATGGAATGTTTAAATGAAGTAAAGAAATAATACACATTACTGTCGGTCAACAAAAATGGCCACCACTCTCAGTAGCAAAATATAATCCACAATCGTTATTAGGTAAACAAATCGCAATAAATCGATTGCAGCTGTGTATCAACAAGAACATCTGCAAATAAACAAAAGCATATGACCGCTTACGGGGAAGAGGTCCACCGAAACGCCTACTAAATGGTCGGAGCCAACGGTTACGCCACGCAGGCGAACATCTTTACCCATCACAACCCGCTGCCAAACAGCCCCATGCGGGGTTAGCACGTTAGGCAGTAATGTGTTCGAGCCTCATAGGTTCAATATTTGGTCAAGTCGTTCTACTTCCATTACTTTAGTTCCCTTATAGTGGATGCGTAGAAACCAATGTAAACATCGATTTGTCACCGACATAACAAACAACTGAAAAAAGTCAACTGGAATAAAATGGTAACATTATCGCTTTGACAAGTGTATCAGTTAGCGAAAGAAAATAGTCCTGGTAAGGGGTTTTTTGACTCGGTGGGAAATCCCGGTAGTTTTTCTTGTTTTATGTACTTCCCTAATTTATTATTTCGATTCCAACATTTGACCCCTGGCTTGCTTTCATAAAAAAATTAGTTTATGTTAAACTTAAAAGTGGATATAAATATAGAAACATTTCCAACTGCATTTCCGAAACAACTGGAGCATCACGAAATTCAAATCCTTCAGTACTTCGAAAGAACCCATAGATAATAAGCTCTCGACAGGTGGAAGGTTAGTGAGTCAGAGAGAAAACCTACCAAGATCTTTTTACAACAGAAATTTTCTTGAAAAGACTAAATTAATCCCTTTTAAGTTTTATCTACTCACAGATTGAATCCCACAGCATTACTAGCAGATAAACAAGCTAGCACGATTGCTGCCTTGACCCACTGGTGACATGGTGACGACACGTCCAAAACTTCATTTTCATTGAACAAAGACATTCCATTGGTTTTCCAAGTGTAACCAATTATGAAGAGCATCCGATTTCTACATCGTCGTTGTTTGATGGGAAAAAACCACGTTACTCAGTGAATGAAAATTTTAACGGAGAGGCAGTAGTCGGCTAACTCAATGGTTGAAAATGTAGGAGCACCTATTTTCATGTGCTTTAAATACCTAAAATACGCTAATACCTTACTGTTACCCAAAATAAGCTGCCGTTTTTCATTGCCCAATTTAATGGTTTTTACTGCAAATCGTGTATAAAGGGAGAAGAAGAAGAATGTGACGAAAACAGCAGCGAGTGGCTGGCCGGCGAGTTATGTGAGACGTCCGTGTCAAAAACGCTGCCATCTACACAGCCACTGCACGGCTGTGCTACGGCGACAACGACAGCCGTTTTTTTGCGGACTGGCATCGGTCATTCCAAGAAGCAGACCTCTGGATATTCGAGGAGAACACAATGAAACGAAACGTATGCTGGCATCTCAATGCTATCGCTTGATTGCTTCGCAGACATGCCTATATGTAGATTGAATTCGGAACTGCAAAGTTAAGACAGCCGAATACTTCACTTTATAGAACACGACATTATTTGAATGAAAATTCGATTTGAAATATTTTTGAGTACTATGGCTTTAGGTAGTGTGCGCTAGCACAGTAGTAGTGATCTTGTTCATTACCCAAACGGCTCGAACTACTCATACGTCGGCTCGACCTCGCCCCGGAGTCGGGAAATTGGTATGAAAGCAGTTAATCCCGCCATTTCAGGTAGAAACGCTCCAACCCAACTATTTCAGGACTCCAGGGAAAATTGACTCGACCAGCACTCAACGAGATTGGTGGCGAAAGCGAAAAAATTTTCAAGCAGTAGCTGAGCCCACAAACGAAGAGTTTTTAAAAGACCTTCGTGAATGGTGGATTCGAGAAAACGAAACCAATGTAGGAAGTGCTGATATCCACACTGCGTGGTATATGCGATGTCAGGTGATCTAGTAGTTTAACAACAACAATTATTATTATTACGGTAATAATAATAGATGATAACAACAATAATAACTGATAATAATTAACAATGATAATAAAAATCAACGACTTTCAGAAGGGCGAAGAATTGGGATCTGAATTATCAAATATGATTCAACTATTAGGCTAAGTGAGGCAACACGTACTTGCTAGCCGTGCTCGGTGCCATCGTGATGACAGGTACTTGCGTTTTCTCCGCTTGTTCCTCCTTTCTTTTCTGTTTCAAGAACTGCTTGAACGTCGAGAGCGCGTACAGTAATTGGAGTACAGCGGCTAACTGACCAGTGTCGATATCTGGAAGGGAATGAGTGTGTAACGCGTGTAGGAACGAAAACATGATAAAACATATTCGGTGTGATTCCCATGATTGATTTTCTATTAACTGCGGCACTGGCCAAATAATGCACTTTTTCCATGATCAGAAAAGATAAGCTTATTCTTTCACTCTTTATTCGACAAAGTTGACGTTTCAGCAGATTTCGCCTTCTTCAGGGCAGCTTTCTATGAGACCTCCATTGAGTGTTTCACATGGACACCAACCGCAAAGAGCTCACCTGGATGGATGCTGTGCTGCATTAGAAGGTCTCCGCGTAAAACACTCAGTAGAAGACGCATATTTGATGTTTTAACAAAGTGTAAATAAGGCAAAAACACGAAATTATGAGAAAAAGATGGTTCACAAGGATGTGGTACCTGGTACGAAATAAAGTTACAAAGGGAAGGACAAAATAGGTTTAAGGGTACGAAACTGTAGATATGGAACGATCAAAGATGAAGTGTCTAGAAATAATAAAACGTTGTCTTCAAATAATATTACTTGGAAATTTTTAGAATAAAAAATGGAATTTTATTTCATCATGGCAAGAAAACATCCTTGCTAAAGACGTGACGATTTAACCTCCCAATAACGGGATTTTTTCAAATATTCGATCGATTTTTTCGAGTTTTTTCTTCAGGACGCCGAACATAAGTGGGCAGCGAATAGGTTGATCAACACAAAAATAACAAGGGTTAATTCGTTGACAAATATTTCTGTGTTGAAATGAACATAGAGCGCATAAGACCTTCAAATAAGGATAACGGAGTCGCTTGGGATAAAAGCTGAATAAAGGAGAAGGTGCTCGACGTTGGTCAGTGAGCGCTTTGCGGATGAGTCATGCATTCAATTCCATTAAGGTGACTGAATGTTTATTCTGCTTATACAATGATTTACGGTGGTTTATGATGTATCAAATTAGTAATTTTGTCCTACCAGACAAGTTCTGACCAATATGTCGACCTCTCGACCATGGAGGGAATGAAGAGTTGGTTACCTCAAGACCTGACATCGAACAGATGATCTCGTGCATAAGGCAGGGTACCTCTGACTACTGTGCTACACGTGCACCTCAAATGTGGCACAGCTATTTGATGGGGACATCTCTGCTGTCTACTCTTTCATATGAGATTAGGTCATCGAAATCGAAAGAAAATGTGTAGGCCGGCGATGTATGTCGACGTGTCAACATTAATTGGTTTTCACTCAATTAGATAGCCAGTAAAAGAATACCAAAACAGTTACTCAGCTTCTTCTATTGACAAAAAAATTCCTCCTCTTACAGAAGTTCTAAAAACTCTCAAACCAGACTGCTCTGTCAACCCCTAATGAATACGGGTTTTCTACAGGAGCAAAGATCGCCAAGAAACGCAAATGGGTTGCGTCATTCCAAAACTGATGACTAACCAAACCTTTAGGGAATCTGCAGAACTGCAATGTTTCTTTAATACCCTGCATAGTAATTTGAAGGAAAGTGCCACGTTAGAAATTAAAAACTGCTGTAACAACAATTTTAGACTGCTTAAAACATGGTCGTTGTTTCATACTTTGAACTTCAAAAACACGTAAAACTGAGAATGGCCTTCAGTACTAGGAATGAAGGACAACCTTATAGCTCCAAAAACGGGATACAAATGTGATAAAATTCTAAACATTTTGAATTGGCGGCAGAAGTGTTGGAAATAGGTAGTGTCTTGGTGAGATCACGATAAATGTGCTGAGGTATGAAGGGTTTCTTGTCCAAATTCATCCAACGTTAGCAGTATTGGTTATGCATATATAAGCAGGAGTTTCCTTGGCAGAGTTCGTTCCTTCTTTGATTGATGACTGCCCGTCACAAATGTAGCAGTTTCCCTGTGCACTTTTTCGATTTCCTGGCGGTACTCTTATGCGGTAAAAGACGCGCCACTTCTCATCTACCGTGGCTGATTCCAATCTTCCATTCACTAGACGCTCAAAAAACATTCTGATCAAAACTGACTTCAGGAAACGTTTCATGATTCGACTCTGTCCAGAACGTTGTCGGTGATCCAGTTCCAGTCGTAGGTAATAATACCATTTAGATTGGTTACACAAAAGGAACGCAAAATAAACTTCATAATGATTATCTTTTCGCCGCTCCTGAATTCATGCAACACCGAAATATTCGGGCTTTTCCGACCTTTTAAATCGGTTCAAATAATTTGAAATTTGTCTAATTCAGTAAACGTTTTTCAGTACCGAACTCAAACCACTGCCCATGAAACTATTAGTTAAACTAACAACTTTGTAAAGTTATAGGATAGAAACTGGTGGTCTCCGAAAATCTTCGTCTTCGGAAATCTCATCTCCCTCTCGAAACCTCTAAAACTAGTGCTGCGCGGCAAGGTCGTTAACATATCCATGGTTTAACTCACAATTTCTTCATTTTTTGCCTACTCTTTTTTAGCGGAGAGTATTATGTCAAATACAACCATAATGATATTGAGATATTTGCAAAACGCAGGTGTCCGCGGTGTGGAACGAGCGCGCTATTCCCCCTTCCGGGGGCTAACGCGCACCACCACGCCGTGCGAGTCCTTTGTTTCGCGTTTTCTCTCAGTCGTGTTAATCCACTTGACGAGTGATAGCTGGTAGCAACTACGTCTCAGTAACACGGCTGAGAGAAAAGCTAAAACAAAGGACCTGCATGGTGTGGTGGTGAACGCGTTACTCCCCGGAAAGGACAATAGCGCGTTCGTTCCCCACCATAGACACCTGCGGTCCAGCGTTTTGCAAATATCTCAGCAACGTTGTGGTTGTATTTCGCAAAGTAAAATATGTTGAAGGATACCATGAAATTTATGATTCCAAAGGTCATAAAGCAAAAGTACGAAACACAAGTCATGAATTCTTAAGAAAAAATTATCTCTTTTTGAAAACCTGATGATAGAGCCAGTAGTCGGGTTAAAATCCGTCGAATCTAATTGAACTTTGGGCACTGCGTCCCTCAAGGCCGACATTCAGCGCTATCATGACGCTGAAGTGGTTTGTGTATTGTGCCACCACTAAGACCATAGCAAACGAATTCAGTAAACGTTCCTTCTGACTCCTTACCTAACAAATTTTTTGCAATTTGTGATTAGACAATCAAAATTACGAGAAATTTCTCTTACTAGCAATAACCTAAGTATTTCAAATAAGGACTATATCTCGGCTACTTTGATTGTTTTCCTGGATGTAAATGAAGAGCTCAAGTAACAATTGCTTCCTATTAATGCTACCAGGCTTCGGGAGCAAAATAGAATTGTAGAAAAGATATCATCGCTAAAATTACTAAAAATTGAAACTTGATGAAGGGATCGGAGACGAAAGAACAGTCACACCCTCGTTCTGCCTAGAGCACCTTTTTAGTTCAGTAGAGGAAGTTTGACAAAATTTGCTACCTTATCGTCTTGAAATAAAGATAGAAAACGAATGGAGAACTGAAAACTTCGTTGAGACTGCCGAGAATATTGTTATTGAACGAATAATTCTCCTTACCAGTGGTGAAAACACAATGCAACATTACACTTTTTTTTCGTTTACCTACAGAAGGTGAACACCGAATCATACTCTAGTAACAGCCCTCTTCCTTACATCCGAAGAGAATGCCTTAGTAATATGGCGAAATTCAAATTGTAAAAGGCCGTTAAAGTCATGAATGGCCTTTGTATGCTAAGTAGAGACGTACGAGCTGTCTGGAGCATCCATGGCCGCTTTCGTGTCAACGGAATCGATTCCTAATAAAAGGAAGGGACAGTGGTAACCACTTCAAAAATATGATACGCTAGGTACAAAAAGTTGACAGCTTTACTCTTGCCTACACCGAATTTGAAGCGTCAAACAAACTGACATCCACGCAACTAAATGAACATCAAATAGAGTTGCTTTTTTACTTACCAAGAATTTTCCCTACTTAATATTCCTATCTTTAAATTTCACTTTTCCACATACGAAAAACATGAAATATCGATACGGTCTTCAGAGATGGATGGCCCATTCAATGTTCAAACATCGAACATTTGATGAGACCTCAACACAACAACGAAGAATATGGTTAGAGAGAAACGTGTCAGATATTCGACAACGGAATGGTGAATTAGAGTGCGAATCCCATTATTGGCACATATAGAAAATAGGGCCATTAGAACAGAAGAGTTTTTTCTTAGTACGAACGTCTCCAAAATCCGCCATTAATCGCGAATGAAAAATACGCCAATGGAAAGCGAATGTTGCCCGAAGATATATGAAAAGCTATAGAATGTACGTAATAGGCAAATATGGCCTGAACAAGTAAAAACTGTCTAAAAAATGACAATCATAACCCTTTTATTTACTGCCTTTTTCTTTTTAATGACCCAGATGGTGTGGTGGTGAAGTGCGCTACTCCCCGGAAAGGGGATTTTAGCGCGTTCGTTCCCCACCACATACACCTGCGGTCCGGAGTTTTGCAAATATCTCAGCATTATATACGTGTCTAAAAGATGCTTGTGAAAACTACTAAAAATTTTTGGCCAGAGAGGACTGGAATGTCTAAGGTAACGGTTTCCCCATAGAGGTGCTTCACCTCACCGATTTCTCATTTGTAAATTAGTTCTGTAGAAAAACTAACGTGTTCCCAATTCATTTATACAAGGATTTGGGGGCGAGCCTACTAAGTATGACAGTACTTTATAGGTCGCATATGCGATAGCTGTCACCACTAAATTCCTTGGTTGTTTGTGGACGGAAACAGAACTGGCACCCACTGTGATAGAAAGCCACGTTGGAAGGAAGATGTCTATCAAGACATATCACTTTGTCTTCAAAACTGTTTGTTTCGAATATAACAGTTTAACAAACAAGGAAAAGCGATCAATAACCAAGGAAATGATATACCAGCAGTGATGTGACATCATCCTTGTGAATTTGCACAAATCTTCTGCATATAACGACGACTGATGACTAAGACGATGAAAAAATAAAAATTAGGATTCCTAAAAAATAAGGTCTTAACCATCTCAGATTTAATACAATAACGAAAAGATCCAAGGAATATCCCTTATGTAAAGGAAGCCAACCCAGTTAATCGGCAGATACGCATCCTGTGCTTCAAAGGAAGAAAATGCCTTAGGAAAAGGAAAATGGACGAATGACTTGTGAATCCGAATGATTCTGTACGTATGCAGATATATGAGACATTTATGAGACATACTCATCTATATCTGAGTCTGAATGCAAACCTATGCAAAAATTGTCTTCTGCATGTCGATTTGGCAAAAAGCCTAGAATCATGCGATGAGAAAACTGTGAGTTGAGTTCGGAGTCCTCTGCAACAAACAAGACCGATAACTACTCCAAGAAAGCACGACAGGCTTCAGGTGAATGTACCATGTTCACAAATTCTGAGACTGGACTGTCTTGATCTTGTCAAAAACAGTAAATATAAAGGATCTCGTATGGAAGGTGTGAAACACTTAGTGTCACAGTACAATCTACTGGACAGCTTTGGCAAGCGAAAAGCACTAGTGGAGACTTTTGCTGGCGCCCTTTTGAATCACTGGATGACCAATAGAAGAACAGCTGTCACAGATGAAAAAAAAACACTGAAAGGAAGAAAATGAAAAATGAGAGATCCGAAAAAACAAAACGCTTAAGAAAACTTCAATAAAACCAATAGGTCGTAAGGAAAAAAAACGAAACTCCCAGAAATATTTGATACATTAAGTAACATGAAGCCATTCGTAGAGGCCATGTAGGAAGCGGAGACGCAATAGATTACATATGCCCTCCATATCTCTTTAATTATTGCTGGCCTTAGCGATAAATGATGGTGCTGTAGCAGCGACTTTTTATAGCCAAAGCATTAGGGCAGTTAGCAGCAAAGAAGAAATCATCACGATTTAAATTGTAGTAATACCTGTGACCACAGCGTACCTTCACGCTTTAGTCTCGAATTCTGATGCACTATGGGTATGCGTCCATACAAGAGTTTCAGAAGCCGAGAACGACTGACATTTTCACCTTCGCTAATTGTAAATCTGTGTCCCAGCACAATCCGAGAGCTACCCATGGCTAAATCTCGCCTAGGAGAGGGAAAATAAAGGACCTCACAGGAACAGAAAAGCGGATTCCGTCAGGTAACCATTACGCGTTGCTGTGAAAAATGCACTTTGCCGGCGTGTTCTACTTGAGTTGCCTGATAAGCAAGGAAATTACATGTGATGAAAGTGAACTGTTTGATGTCGGTCTAAGATGTTACAGTTCTTGATGCATTTGCTTATTTTTCAGTAACATTTGTTTGCTACAAAAAGTCGTCAGTTGGTGATTTAGCCAAAGAAGAATGAGCCATAAGCCTTTTTTGCAGCAAATTTGGATGCAACAATTGTTTAGTGCATCACATTTCTCCAACCCTATGTAGAATACCGATAGTTGCTGAACAGAATAAATTTTTCGCCGCACGTAAGAGTGCCATGAAGCAGTGGATGGTTTTCGGTGTACGAAAAAAAAAGTCCAGAGCAGTGTTTATGAGGCCGCGCCTTTTCTTTTCGTTGAATCCGCGAAGGACCAACTTATCGCGACTTTTCTTTTTTCACTTTCCTTTCAACCGACTTTTTGAATCGCCTGAGGTGTTCCTAAATTTTGAGCCGATGCGAGGTTGATCTAAGTTTTCGGTGTCATTGTTGTTTATTGTTGTCGTCGCTGTCGTTGCTGTTGGTGTTCTTGGTCGATGGCTGATGTTTCGGCGATTTCGGTTTCCTCAGAGTCTGGACGTATTTTATGTGACAGTAGTTTTTTATGGATAAAACACAAAAAATTACATAAAGTATGTGGCTTGCCAGAGAACTCTCAATAAATGCTGAGCATCGAAATAAAATTACTATGCATTTCACTACTACTGTCACATAACGCAAGCCCAGGACCAGGAAGACGAAATCGCCGAAACGTCAGCCATCGACCAAAACACGAACAACGACAACAATAACAACAGCGACAGCGAAGACCTATACCATCCTCGCAACAGTTCAACAAGAACAGTTTATAAGATTACATAAATAAATATATCAACTGTTATTGCTGAGGTCCATAGAAAGTTGGTCTTCTGAATTGTTCCGAAATTGTTGCTTTTCCCAAGTCTAGTTCCAGCCCTATGATCTCGTTCCGCTCTGCAATAATCGATCCCAAGTAAGCAGCTTCAAAGTTGAGGAAATGTGTTGCCTCCGACTCATTTCCACTTACGGGGTTTTCGTGTCCATCAGAAAACTTTTGAAGGAAACGTTGTATCGCACGCTCATTGATAGCCTCTGTCCTCACAGACTAAGAAAAAAGTTTCTTGTTGCAGAACGTTGTCACATTTTTCTCTCGATTTTCATAACAACGTAAGTGAAACCCACTTAATACAAAGAAGTACTTTTAAGACGTCAAGACCTGTGCAAATTTTTAAGAAACCCAGCATTTGAGAAATTGCAATTCTCCTTGAGCATGGCTTAGAAGAAGTGAATCAGGGCTAAACGACTTGTGTTCACATTTCGACAAACCTGGTTTTAAAAAATTGGCAAAATTAGACTGGAGCTAGCAGAACGGGCTAATTTGAAAACGCAGTTAAATGGGAGTATGTTAACACACGGTTTAGAATATATAAAACATATGAAAATAAATGTTTGTAGGGAGAAAATTACATCAATGATCGGTTTGCATGTGCTGAGAACTTTCGAAACTTTTGAAAGATAAGAGTAGAACTGTGGCATTGCACCAGAACCCAGACACAATGAATAAAGAACAAGACGGACACTAGAAAAGCTAGACGGCAGCGAACTGGTTTCTTACGACCAATAACTGCGGAAAGCACTGTTAAAATTGAGGTCAAACGAATCCAGAAGACTCAATGCATTAATTTTGACCTTTTCTTTATTGTGGTTTGCTTTACATGACCCGTTTTCAATAACATGTACTGTGGGGATTCCAACACCTCTTGCTTTTGCTCCCTTTTGCACTCATCGTCCACAATGGTCTTTGAACATTTCGAGTGTTTTTTTCGGCTGCTGCTTGAGGATTTCGTGTTTTTTATGGATGCTGTAGAACGCTATTTGAGTTGATTCTCGTTGCAATTTTAACCGGATTAAGGCGTTCCGATTCGAAGTACAGCGGAGCCCCGGGACGCTGTTCGGACTAGTGCCTTTCGTTCCTTATCAACGGCATCGCTGATCACTATGCTATCCCTTCCCGACTAGTGACCACTATTTTTGTTCATTCTCTATTCTTTTTTCACGGCATGGTATGATAGAAAATAGTACCACAAAAGTGTTGAGATATGAGCAAAACTCGGAGCTTCAGTTGAGCTCCAAACCCAAGATTACATTTGCCGGTATCAACTTCTGTTTCAGCTTAACTGAGTTCAATTTGTGCTTCCCAAATCATCACCGTTGATGGGTGATTGCTGATAGCACGATGGACTTATAACACGTCTAAGAAGAACGCAAAGCGAGGGCCTTGGTTACTGTGGTGGATATCACGCGAGTCACCTGAAGAGTAATCGTGGGTTCAAAGCTCAGCTAAGACTCCGAGTTTTGCTGATATCTCAGCATCGTTGTCTTCAGAAGAGCTTCTATCACTGCAACCTAGCAAAAAATGAACACGGTTATCAAAACAATGAATGGTAATAGTGTCTCAGCGGAAACAGAAAAAAATGAATATAGGAACCGGCATGATACACTTTACTATAGCAGTTATTCTTTATTCTTTACTTTGTCTAGGTCTTGTTCAATAGAAATGAATTTGCTTCATACACTTGCCATATATAAGATCAGTATTCCAGAAAACTCAAAACCAGGAATTAGGAAATTTTTTAGTTAAAAGCAGTCTTTCAGCCTTCTCATTTTCAACAACGCAAAAATGGATGTGCTGTTAAAAATCACAAGCATACAGGGATATGCCCAAAACCCTGAAGATGTTGTGGGTCCAGAAACTGCGATTACCCTTACTGGATTTTCACGTGATACACCACACCAAGCAAGTGAATACCATCCACCATCATAGCTTACCATTAGAAAAAGAATAGGCAGTAAATAAAGTCCAGAACTAGTAAAAATGTTGCGATCAGCGATAATGATGCTATTAATAAAGGCTAAGTGCACTTTTTTCGTGTTCTACGATAACGATGAAAATCGCCGAAAAAAAATACGACTGCTGAAGAGAGAAATACTGGGCACCCAGAGGGTGGCACCACTGATTGAGAGATCCCCGGGGAGATATCGCCTCCATCAAGGCCGAAAGTTTCCCGCACTGCCGTATAGAGTCGGCAGGTTGAAATTCTCTATACATCGGCAAAAAACTCAACTCCTGTATAAAAATTAATTTTTAATAAATTGAACATAATTCTAGTAAGATATCCGAGAGGCGGAAAGTTTAAATAGAGGTTGGATAGGTATAAAAAAACTAGTTCAATTATGTTCTAAGTTGAGACGTATAAAAATTAATGAAGAAATCAAGATTGAACAGTGACGAGTGATTAATTTCGGTGATGGTTGTGTTAGGATAAAATCAGGAACAATTCGAAATTATTCGAGTTCCAAAGAACTTCATTCGCACTGTCACTTCATAAGTAAAAAAAGAAAAGAGGGAAGAAATTGGATGAAAAGCGCACGAAAATAGCGCGTTGTAAGACATAAGATGAAGCGAACGGAAACAATACCCTCATAATCGGACAGGTCCTACTGTAGTGTTGTTGTAGAGTATTGGGAAAACATACTGGCAATTTTTCCTTGTTTTCTATCACCCAAAAGGGGTAAATAAGCTAGAGACAACGCTAACAGTGAGGTTGGGAAAGACTAAGAGAAACATCAACAGAAGTGCTGCAATTCGTAGAATAAGTTAATCGAGATAGTCCACTGAGCGTCCAAATAGATTTTTACTCGGGACGGAAACCAAAGAGAACGAAGGGTAGCAAGCAGTGCCAGTTTTTCATTCCGTAAGAAACTTCACATAAGTTTTAGAAAATGACAGAAATGGAAGAAAAAACGCAGAATGCAAAAGTTCCGAACCTCAAATGGGGTACTGCTAACTGCTAAAACTAATTAGACTTAAGTACAAATTCGCAAATGATGTATAAATCATTCTGGGCTACTATGAGTTATTGCTAGATGAGGCTCTAACGTACTTTTGACGCAGAAAGGTGTTTATTTATATATATGCACCCTAAAGAGAGCAAATGGTGAATTTGTTACTTTCACGTGTTGGAAACCCTTCTCATTAAAACAAAGACAGCATGGAACAACATCTTTGGGAGGAAGCACTTTACAAACAATTCATGCCTTCCGATTACAGCGCTGGTTAGCATAAATTTTTTAGTGAAAACCCAATAGGTTTGGAAATATTACTAGAAAATGGTAATAGCGAGACTAGATGGAAATGATGTGTCTAAGGAAATCCGACGAACTTGCGTAACCTACCGAAATATGTCGAACAAAGTTGTTCGGATCGAACACAACAAATGTTTTACGCTAAGGTTTTTAAGGAAATGAGTGGATAACGATCGCTAGTCGTCATCGTTTTTCCGATGTCACAAAGCTATCGCCGCTGCACATCGTCGACGAGGTAACACCACCGACCGTGACTCGATCGACGAGAAAACCACAGAGATCAGCATCTCAACAACTTTAGCAACGAACTTAGCGGCTATAACCATTTGAAACACCCGCGGAAGTCACGTCTCCGTCGCTATCCTAATGATTTCTGTCATTTCCTTTTATTCTGTCAACATTTCATCTAAAAGCAATGGTTTCTGAAGCTAAAAACAATTGGAAAAAATACTAGATAAATGGCGGATGTGTAGTGTCCGTGACGAAATCGAAGAAATCGTCTTTGGCAAATGCTCACTTTCTGGCATGCAAACGTCGCACAATGCGGTTTGAGCACTCCAGAATCGAGCTTTTCACTGAGATAAGCTGGACATTGAATGGCAACATACAACCAGTCATAAAAGTTCTGAACTTCAGTGCATTGTTGAAAACTAAGTGTCTAGAAAATCCACCAGATGCTTTGAAAAAAAGAAATCTGGGTTGAGGTAACTGACGA